TAAGACAAACGATCTGTTTCTCCTCAGTGGTGTATGAAACAATCACACTTGACAGTGTTGCATTAGTATGGAAGCAGTACGAAGACAAAACGGCTTCTGCAGTAAACTGAAAAACACTTAACTCGGAGATTCAAAGAAATCTGAATTTTTTTTCCCCTCCTGTCTTTACGTAAAATTTCTGTGTCAGCCTGTTTTCCTACAGTCTTGTTGACTGATTCCAAATTTTACAAACAGCCTTATTTTTTTAGTATGCAGCTCTTAACTGTGTATAAGACCATAAAGTAACATTTTTCTGTCAGTGCTTCTTTGCTGGGAAGACTTTTACATGGCTAGAAAAGCATCCTCAGAATTTTGTTTTATTCAGCAATGAACTCATTGCAAAAAATAATCATCTGACCTGGGATGCCTGTCCAGGTGAAAGAAATGTGCAGCAGCGTAGCTATCTGAAACGGTTACACGTGTGGCAATTCCCTGTCACGTGCAAGTTCTTGCATTTAATAAGCATGGTGGTGAACAGCCAAGGCTGCAGACAGCACCACTAACTAGGGTACCATCGGTTTCGTTAATTTTTGCAATTACCCTAGGAATGTCTAAAAGTTAACTCCTGCTGCTGAGAGCTTTTGAGACCATTCACCATGTGCATGGCTCAAGGTGGAAGAGACTCTTGGCATGCCGCTCTGACTTCCTATAAAACACTTAGATACTTTGCTTGTTATAGATTTTTTTTTTTTCCAGGTGAATATTTTTTCAGAAAAGCTGAAATTTGCCCGTCGTGAAGTACCTTACAGATGTTCCTTTCTGAAGGGAAGTCTTTGACCCAGTCGCTGAAGCTTCCAGAGCGTGCCTGATGTCAGCAGAACGTTTTCGTCAATGTAGTACTCTGCTGCAGAGTTTTAAAAATACCGTAAGAAGAAACAGTGGGAGAGTAATAAAATTCCTAGGATTATTTTGCTAGGAATTATTTGGCTTAATACGCTGAAGACCTTTATTTTGAGCTATGTGGACTGGAAGGTTCTTCACAGATCATCAGATATAATCTCTTCCTGTTGCATCCCTGTAAATCTTTCATAAACAAATCATAGTACATTTTAAGGTTTCTTTAGTCTCTGCTAGGTCAACCGGAAAGCTGTCCCAGAAATTCCTTTCTCTGTTGGTTAAACCTCTAATACGATATAGCTTATGCATACTTTAATGTTGGCATGAGAATAATTTAAATAGATTTTTCACTTTCCTTGTGCTTCTCCTTTCCCTAGTCCCACAGGACGGCCTTCTTTGTCTTCATTTTGCAGCTAAGCAAGTTCTCTCGGTTTCCTCTTGTGCAGTAGGGCCTCATTTTCCTTGGCTATCTTAATAGTCCTTGTCTGCATTTATTTTAGCTTGGAGAGCTAGCTAGCTTCCACAAATGTTTTTCGCCTACACCAAGGATTTATTGCCCACCCATAGCTTTGGAGCATATTCTTACATCCCAGAGGTTTGAACAAAAGAATGGCCAGCCAGGGCAGTAAACAAGACATATGGTCTCCGATTGTTTCGTGCCATTTGCTCAGGGTGGGTTCATCAGTTGTAGGCAGTTTGAAAGCCATAACTCATTTCCTCTGTTTGCCTCAGTCAGTTCTCTAATCTCACATCCATTAAGAGTTATCTCTGAATAATGAATGGAGAATCCATTAAGAAGGGGAAAGGGCAAATATAGTACTTATTTAAAAAAAAAAAAAAGAAAAAAAAAAAGGGAAACACACCAGGTTCTTTGCTTTTTCCCTCCCCAGCTTTCTTTTAATCCATTAGCTTAGCTTCAGTCACCAGAAAAAACAACACTGGAGGAGTTAACTAAGCCAGTGAGTTGTAGGTGCGTAGATGTGACAAGCAACGAGTAACAACCGAGTGTTGCCAATGCCAAGTTGTGTAAAATCAATCTGAATCCTCACTGCGATGGCTGCAGGCCTTGTCAGGAGGGGAGTCACCGCAGATGCCGTATGTCTTGGTGGTTTTGGTGAGGCTGACACTGTGCTGCTTGGTGTAAGCAAGGTAGGGGGAAATGGCTTGGGTGAAGGTGGTATCAAGGGGATACAGAGCTCACGGCGAGAGAAAATAAATGATGTGTGAGTAAGGGTTCTGCTGAGACACTTCGCAGGAGTCTGTCCTGAGTTTCCCAATAAGCAATGTTTTCTTTACTGGTTGGGATAAGGGAATAGGGAGTATGGTTATTGTATTTAAGCTAAGCAGGAAAAGATGAAGTTGCAAAGTATAAATTGTGTAGAAGACTGGACTATAATTCAGATTGCTTTTGACTGATTGGAGAAATGCCATTGAAAAAACGTCCTGTGAAATTCAGTGGAGACAAATGTGAAGTTACTGAGTTCACTATGTGTAATGAGTTGAACGTCAGAAAAATCTGCTTCATCATGAGGAAAGAGAGCGGGATGTGTAAACAGGCACGCCCAAGTCTTCCAGAAAATATTCCTGTATGAGGCTGGTAAGACTTCAGCTGGAGTAGTGTCCTGGATTTTGCTTGGACATGGTCAAATTGGAGGGAGTCCAGAGAGCAATAAGCGAAGCTGTGTATCTTAGACCTTTGGCCAGCGAGTAAGGTCTAAAGAACTTGAGGTGGCTCAAGAACATTCAGAGAAGGTGTGAGAGCTGTGTTTGAGTATGCAGAAAGTAGTTGCAGGACGAGGAGAAATGAACTCCTGTAGTTAGCTATGAAAGGTACAACAAGGATTGACGGCCTTAATTTGCGCTACAGAAAACCCAAGTTTGCCATCAGGAGAAACTTTCAAATGGGACAGAAAGGAAATGAGAGAGGGGGATTCAAGTCAGCAGTGGTCAGAGGTCTCCAGCAGAACATCAAGCATCCTGCAGGAATAACGTGGGTATCCCTCAACGTGTTGTAGAGCCAGGGAATGGACTAGATTGCCTCTCAAGGCTACTGCCAATAAGCCAGACCTCTGTGCCTGTTGGAACATCTCTGAACAAAGTGGTGCTCAGGGTTAGGACCTGCCCCTAATTCCTCCTCCTCTGCTGTTTGCCCTCTTCCTGGTGTTTGCCATCTTCTAGGAGGAGAGGAAATCTCAGAAGCAATCACCCTCAAAACCACGATCTGGGGTCTGAGCCAAACGACTGATAAGACTCTTTGAGAAGAAACTTTGCAGAGCATTTCCCCTTCGTCTCAGGAAATTCTCCTCCATGGCGTGTTCAGATTTCAGGGCTTTTCATTTACTCCCCGTTTGCCAACTGATACTTGGCCAGAAGACTGACGTGTGCTTAAACAAACTGATTTGGCAACTACAGTCAGCGTTTGTTGGTTCAACTGTAGGTGACGGGGCGGTGAGGAGAGCAGAGTTTTCACAGGACTCGGTGCCTGGTGGTGTCCGCGTTCTGCCAAGGCGTTTGCTGTGACCTCAGGAAGAGTTGAGAAGGAAATGACCTCATTCAACTCCAATCCGGGATCTTTTCTGAGGTTACTGGTTTGTGAGCGAGGAAATGGGGGTCTGTGGGTTGGGGACAAGGACACAGGACGCCGTGTCTTTCTGAAGGCAGTTAGGGAATATTTAATCTCAGTTTAGACTGGATTAAACTTGGAGACACCTTTGATTCTACCTTGCCTGAATAATGTCACTGAAAACTGGCTGTGAGCACGTAATCTGTTAAGTTTATGTCCTCCGAATGACACTGGAATACACAGTTAACTCTTAATTCTCAGCTTAATGGCTTGTGAGTTTGTTTAAGCAAATCTCATGCGTTCCATCAGTGATCTCAAAATTAGATGGGAAAGTACATACTGTCATTAATCTTGCATGATCAGTCTTCAGCATATTGCTTATAGAAATCGACAATTTAATGTTACAGTACGTCTCCTAGATTTACTTTTCATACACTCTGACCTAACATTTCAGGGATATAAATTTGTAAGATCATGTTAAAGCTTTATAAAACTGATCTGAAAGCAAAATTCTTCTTGGTTTTAAGTCCAAGTTCCAGAAGATGTTGAGTGATTGTCTTTGCGGCTGCTCGGCAGCTGCTGAAATGGAAAGGGATCTTCTTGGGCATCGTGGTGGTGGTGACTGGGTAGGTGGGTCACGTCATCGCTGGTTGCAGTTCCAGACTCTGCTGGCTTCGACAGGAGCTTGGCTAAACAGCCTTCAACATTTTGGGAACTTCCTACAGAATCTTGAGCACTGAGTCAGCTGGGTTTGTGCAGTGTCTTGATCAGGCTGGTCGATGGTTATGGTATGTAACTTAAAAATTGTGGCTTATTTTTACATTCATTTGAGAAGAACTGGTCAGTAACAGGAGAGAGCGTCTGGGTCAACGACGCTTCTGGGGTGGTTCAGATGCTCCCACTGCTGGAGCTCACAGTCCTGTTGAAGTGTTGGTAGAGCATTTCTTGCTCCTGTTTTTGTCCTGTCCACTACTGGGTTCCACCAGGGCTCAGAAGTCTGAGATGCTTCCCTGAGATACGAGACTTGGAAATAAAAGTTTCTCCTTTTGGGTGTAAGTTTCAAGTTGTCAATAAAATTACAAAGTTTAAAATTAAATTTCTACCATGGCTTGATACTGGGTTTGTTTATCGTGGTAATATACCAGAAGACCTGCTGCAACTTGCCACTCTGCTTCAACTGATGGCTTCATCTTCTGCCACCTTAGTCATGTGAGCCCAGTTAAGCCCTCCAGTGTCTTCTGTCTCTGTCACAGTTGACTCTGAAATGTGTGTTTAAAAACAACAATCCCCAGTAAAGTAAAATCCAAGAGAGACACGCCAAGTCCTAAGTTTCTGTACCCTTGTGAGCCTGGCTTACTGAAGCTTGCCCTTTTTGTTCTCCTGAATGTTCAGCTATGTCTGGGAGGGAATGGGCCTTCCTTGAAACTGCCGTTGGAATG